GAACACCCCCCCCCCCCCCCCCCCCCCCCGAGCACCAACAAGTCCGGAATAGGGTGACAAGTAGTCGAAGCTACCAACAGAAACTGAGCTACTACATTCTCTAGGAACAACAGAGGACAAAACAGTGAAGAAGACCGCAGAGTCAGGGCCCAAGTCGATTCCAAAGACTGAGCCAACACGGCCTGCAGACACGTGAGGCGAGAGAAGAAAAACCTTGAAACTATCTTCCAGAGGATTGGTGCAAACAACTTAAGTAAGGCAGACAATGCTTCAGCAGCCAAGACGAGAACCATAGCCGAAGGTCACGCACTCAACGCGCACACAACCTCCAAAAGCCCATCTGAAGAGAGTTCCAGAAAACCGAAAAGGAGCAAGAACGAAGCCAAATAACCATGAGTCCGGAGGTCATCAGCTGCCAAAGCAGCCAAAAGAGTGGGAACCTGAGCATGCAACTGCACCAGACTCACATCATGAGGAAGCACAGGAGTGAAGAGGCACTCACTGAGGAACTCGAGCAAGCCAAATCAAGATAAAAAAAAATACATCTAGTATCGGGCCCCTGCGAAAGGGAGATGGAACTTTCATCGATGACACCAAAGAAATGAGCAAGATACTGAGGAAGCAGTATGACACTGTTTTCAGCGAGCCACTAAACACACTAAAGATTGATAACCCCAATGAATTTTTCATGGATATGATACCAACATCAAATCATATATCAGACGTCACCCTATCCCTACTGGATTTTGAAGAAGCCATAAACAGTATGCCTATGCACTCTGCACCAGGCCCTGATTCTTGGAACTCCATATTCATGGAGAGCACGTGGTTGATCTGGAGAGCGTGCAGAAATCCTTTACTGCTAGAATCCACTCAGTAAAACATCTAAACTATTGGGACTGACTAAAGAGCCTAAATCTGCATTCTCTTGAGCGCATGCGGGAGCGGGAGAGATACATAATAATTTACATGTGGCAAATAGTGGAGGGACTGGTCCCAAACCTACACACAGAAATAACATCACATGAGGCCAGAAGGCATGGCAGGATGTGCAGAATACCCCCGTTAAAGAGCAGAGGTGCAACAGATACTCTGAGAGAGAACTCTATCAACATACTTCCACTACACATAAGGGGCATAACTGGCCGACCCTTCACAGTGCCCAAGAGAGAACTCGATATGCACCTCCAAAAGATACCCGATCAACCAGGCTGTGATTCATACATCAGGCTGTGAGCAGCAGCATCAAACAGCCTGATTGACCAGCCCAACAACGAGGAGGCCTGGTCAATGACCAGGCCACAGGGATGCTAAGCCTCGAAAACACCTCAAGATAATCAAGGTAACGAGCCACAAAGAATACCTGCAACACAGAAGAAACCTCCCGCTACTCAAGTGAGCAGGTACGACAAAAGCCATGCCAAGCTCCGAGGGAGAAACGGGGGTCAGTCTGCCAGCCAAGAAGACCCTGGAATCTTATAACGCACCCAATACGGGGAAGAAGAATCGAACTCAAAAGGAGCTGGATCCAACACCAAGGCATAAATCAGGTTTCACAGGAGGTATGCACCACGGGCTTCCCGAACCTCCCAAGGGGATTCCGAGAAGAAGGAAATCTCAGGAAAGATAAATCCAAGGAACCCAAAGAAAGGGCACTCCTACCATGAATGCATACAGGGGGGTATGGAACGAAAATCTCTTCCAATGCAGCAACAAACCCTGCCGAGAAGGTACAAAGGCCCAAGCAGGGTCAAAAGGAGCCCAAGTGCTCCAAGCAGGGTCAAAAGGAGCCCAAGTGCTCCAAGCAGACTACCCCCCCCCCCTCACAAGTCCTGAGAACCCCCGACACAGGCCCCAGGGAAGAGCAATCTTCCACGCCCACCACCCCTAAAGAAAACTCAGAGTCCAAGGAAAACGCTTCCGAGAAGGAAGACGACTGTGATGAACTGGAAGCCTCGGTGGGAAGAACGGGCTCAACCACCTCCTTGCCCGAATTGGAAAGGGCAGCCCCTGAAGCCACCCAAGCCCTCAGAAGTTTAGAAGCCAGATACAGGGAGGGAGGAGCAGGTGGGCATGGTTCACCTACCTGCAAAAGAAGGGAGGGTACGGATGGAACGAAGGTCGAAGTGACCAACGCCCCCAAACCTGGTACCTAAAATCCAAGGGAAATCCAATCAATCCAAGGGACTGGTTGCCTAGAGCAGCTCTAGGCAACCAATCTGGCGTGTGGCAAGAAAGAGAAGTGAGCTCGCAACGCTGCCGTATCCTGAATCCTATCATCTGCAGATGAGGAATGGGTAAACAGAAGCACAAGCAGGAAACAAGTCTCGCAATACTCCGGGTCGTAGGTGTCACCAACCCAACAGGCTGCATGGCGGAGGCAGAAGGGGTGATCGTCTCCCTGAGGAAGGGGCGACAAACAACTGTCAATTTTGCACAAGGCGAGAGTGGGGTCGGACGGATCCATGTTACCGACCAAGCCGACAGGGGTTTTCCAGGGCCCGCAGGGTATGTCAGCCCTATGGAAAGCCCAGGCACTGAGGCCAGCTAAGCCAATAGACCCCCTGCTAGGAAGCAGACAAACTGACAACCAGTAGCAGTGGTGAAACCTCAGGCGAAACGGAAAAGGAAAGCCGCCACTACCTAGGTGAGCCTAATAAGGAGCTAAATGGACTTCCTCTATCCACATAGGGCAAAACACCAGAAAACGGAAGAAAAACAAGCCCCCGAAACCACACCAAAAGCATGCTACCAGCCGGAAAGAAACGTCGACCGTTGCATAGGTAGTAAGTAGACTACCCAATAACACTCCCCTACCTGGGGCAAGACGGAAAGCCCCAGACCCCGACTCACCCCAAGGGCAAAGACAATTTTAAGCGACGAAGCCCCCAAATGGAGAGCAAATCCCAAACGTCCAGGGAAGATAATCCTGACAGACAAGGATAGTACTTACAGAGCACCTAGGGAAGAGTGCCCTAGGTGCATGCAGCTCCCAAGTACAAGAACACCTGGCCACCACACCACACACAACAGCTGGTACAGCCACACAAGGCAAAAATCCAGTACAGGAACTTGAAGCCAGAGGTGACTGAAGCGACTGCAAGCACATCAGGTCAAGAACTGAGGTGGTGGGCAGCCGGCTTGCCTGAGCTGACTCTCCCCCTCCCTTTTCTTTTTTTGGGATGGGGGAAGATACGCTAATGACCAGGAGTACTAGTTGCGTGCAGGGTTGCTACTTTTGTTTCTTTCAGCTATAGTTTCTTTGCTCTTTCTGGCTGTAGGGAGCAATTTTACTGGCTAGTTGTTTGTTTTGGTCTGCCTAGCATTCCGGGTGCCTACCCCGGTCGATGGCGGAATATGACATACATACTTTAAATGTAGAGTGCTCATATGCCATTGCTCCCTGTGCCTCTCTGAGGGGGCCAGGTTCTGGCTTGTGGTTACTGGTAGACAAAAGAATTCCTGTCACTGATGACCCAAACTAATAAAGCACTATATCAGCTCAGATAGCTTCAGGGAGCTGACAGGGCTCCACCAAAAGAGTTATTATTATGTATCATGCCATGGATCCCAAGAAAATCAGTGGTAATTTTCAACCTAAGAAAATAGTTGAGGATGGCAATAGAAGAAGAAAAAAAAGAGAGATCAATCATAGCCTGAAAACAGTATGTGCAAGGCTGATTTGGCTAGGAAAATGTGTGCAGTATGGGAAGAACCACAAAGTTTTGCTGAAAATACTCACCCAGATAGCAAGTATACTCACCCTGTAGCAAGCCGATGTGTTAACCTTTTTCAATGAAAATGTGATGTCTCACTACTGACAATTGTTAAAACGTAGGCAAAAAAACAAGTGTCTTTAGACAAATTCTTAGTGAGAAACAAGCAGTGAGCCACACCCAGGTCCTAGTGATATGCCTACAAAACATAGGAGTGTGTTCCCCAGAAATGTAATGACTGCCTGATGTTATAATGGAAGGGGACTCCCCTTCCAAACACTAACACCTCTCCTCACTGTCTTCCATATGCCAACAAATGAGTCCTCAATAAAGTGCAGTTAAATGTTCAGTTATTTTATTTACAGTTTACATTTATTCCTTATTGTTTTGTGTATGAAAAAATATGAGCAGTATTCTGGATAAAATGTATTGGTGTGAGAAACGTATTAATTCAACTTACATTATTTTTTATGGGAAAATTTGATTCGGTGTACAAATATTCAGGTTTCATTGCATTTCTCAGAACAGATTAAATTCGTACTCTGAGGTTCCAATTTGTTTATGTTTATGTATGTATTTTGGGTTACTTTCTTGCATTATAGTGCCTTCCAAATATTCTGTACTTCCTGAGGTACCCAGAAATGTCCCATGAATAAAAAAAAATTTAATGTTTACTCTTTATCAGTCCTGCATGTCATTAGTGAGTGAATGACAACTAGACTAACTATGACTACTTGTTCCTCACCCACAAATATTTAAACTTTTCAACCCTATCCAGATATAGAAAGAATACAGAGTTCATTAGTGTGAAAAACAAGATATGACACACACAAGTGCTTTAATGCTAGTCATGTGATCTGTCAAATCTGTTCAAGCTCAGCTCTGTCAGAAGCTGCCACCATAGTGTCTTGGGGGCCAGGTGCCATTTGTGAGAGTTTTTCAGTGACATCACTTATATTTTCTTAGTGGGAATATGTAATGCAAATGCATATACAACAAGATCTCAGAACAAAGTTAAAGATAACTGTACTAAATACAGTATTGATAAGCTTAACCTAAAATTAAAATAAGATGGTTACATTCAAAAGTTAAATGATTACAGCAAATGATTACAGCATTTTACAAAATCCTTCCACAAGACATTTAAAATTTAATAATTTACAGTACATAAAATATTCAGTTAGTTATGATATTGTATGGTTAAAAGTATTTATTTCTTTGACAGATACTATGATGATTTTTCAAGATATAAACAGTAACATTAAAACTAAAAGATTAACTTACTTTTAAAAGTTCTGTCTTACACGCATAATCAATGGTGGTCCCATATGAGAATCTGAAAATTGGTGTGTGTTGCCGTGGGTAAGTGAGCGGGAAGTTTATTGTGAGTGCCACTGTATGGCTCCTGTGCTTTGCCGTCACCTGACATAGACGCTTCTCTATCTCTGTCTGAAGGAAAAAATATACGTTATTCAAACAATAATTGATCAGAAAAAGGCAGATTTGAATGTAATAAAATGTAAATTTTTGGGCAAGCCTTGGTGGCTCCCTTAAGCTATACATTGAGATAGTTCCCATCTACCAGGTCGCATCAGCCGTGGAGTTCTTTAGACCTATTGGGGACCAGCAACACAACCTGGCCTGCTCACAGAGGCATAGGAAGCAGTGAAATTTTGTCACCTGACTGTGGAAGGCAATCAGACAGTCAGCGAGTCAAAAATAATTGCCAGGTTCAAAAGAGACTGAAGCCTCGAAGCTCACTTAGTAAACTCCCTCAACTACAACAACAGAATTCTCTCGAAACTAGAGTGAGCTCATTTGCCCCATGTACCCAACTCGTTTCAGGGTAGGGGAGAAGTGACTCATTGCCTGCCAGGGGTCCGAGACATCAGTTCTGAAGCAGATGTAAGCACTCATCCAACGACCTGGATGGGAGGTGGGGAGGGGAAGGATCAGGGAGCCTCAGAGACTCACCCAGTAATTGGAGTTTCAGTGCATTCAAATCTTGTTTTTTTGAGGGAACCTTTCGTGGCTCCCTGAAGCTAACTACCCACAGAGAAGAAAGAACACATGGGAACTTACAAGGGAGGAGGGATCATCATAGAAGTTAGGACAAAGAAGAAACCCCCCAGACAAGAGAGAGAGAGAGAGAGAGCCCAAGGACACAGGCCTGGGAACATTCACTAAATACCGGACTGCCAGAACCCTGTTACCCCCTCCAAAGCCCTGTGTCCAAATACTGACCCAGGACATATTAGCAAACAGAGCTGAGAGAGAGACATACTTTCTACCATCATGGGCATGAGGGTAGACCACAGGTTGGCTAGACTTCATATCACTGTGAACATCCTGAGATATATGAGCTTAGGAACAGGAAATAAAGGAGACAGGATCAACTCACAAAGCATCCACCAAAACAAAATCGGTGGCATGACGATAGTGGCAAAGAGCTCCCACTAGACACAGCACATGATGTACCCAGAGCTGGACCAGCCAAGCATCAATACACAAAGAACTCTTCGAAAAGCCACCCAACTTGTTCTTCACCAGAAAAGAAAGAGCTGGATGCAAATACAACAAATGTTCAAAAAAATACAAAAGAACAGAACCATGCCTCTGGAGGAGAGCAAGAAACTCCCTCACCCAACAACTGGAAGCAAGAGAAACCAAAAACAAAGCCTTTGAGAAAGAATCATGGACCAATGAGGACACTATAAAATGATAAGAGGAAAGAAAGTTGATAATGGAGGGGGGTCCAAAGACCAAGCAAGCTCAGGAGGCGCATGAGCATGCACCCAGCTGGTGCTCCCAGTCAGTTCTATTCCTGATAACACTGTCTTCATACCTGTTTGTAGTGCTTCTGATCACGCCATCTCATGTACAAGGCTTCAAGATCGGTGCCAGCCATCCTTGGATTTGGTTGTCCTGTGGGAATTCAGTTGCTTTGTGAATTGTCTCCTGTTTTAGTGTAAGCTTCAAGTGCATGTTTTGATTTTGGTTTGGTGAGTGGGCTTGGTTCATTGGATGTTTAAGGCTGCATGTACTCAGGGTTCTCTTCCCCGAGTGCATGCATTCGGGCAGCATTTCCCTAATGCTGCCCTTGCTTCCCATTTCTGGAGTGTTCGTGAGTTTGTCCCCAAGAGACCTGTTCACTGGAGCACATCTCACTTAAGCTATTCTGGAATCTTGGATTCCTGTTTGGGCCCTTGGTTGGGATATTTTTGGTTGTGTTGAGCTGTTGGAGTTCGCAAACGTCTTTAAATTGTATGCCTTGGTCACCTCCAATAGCATGATAATTAGGCTATGGTAGGTGTCTGTTCCTCTAGCAAGTGGCTCCAGTGCCTGAGGTACCTACTTGGTTATTTCCTTCAGGCCCTGGGAATCCCCTTTGTCTGTGTCGAGGTCTTTATGGAGCAGCCAGTTGAGCCCAACCTCAATGTTTGAGAGTTTGACAGTGATAAAGATTTACAAAGTTCAGATATCAGTAAACCAATGCCGATCATAATATTTCCAAAGAAAGGCAGACACTTGCAGCCACAGTTTGGTACCTTTTCTGATTATGTAATAGAACCTCATGTTCTTTGCTACCTTACATTGTTCATTCTTTCTGCCCCCGCCATGCTGCCTGTTGGGTCAGTGTTGTTTATGTCCTGGAGTCCTGTGAGGTGTGCTCTCAATGGGTCTCCCCTCGGATGGATTCTACAACCCAATTGAAGGCTTTCCAGGCAGCTACTGCATTATGGGATAGTTTTGCCATGATAAGCATTCGAGAAATATGGATCGGTTGGTTGCCTCAGTGCTGGCCCTTAGATTTAGGTATCTGGAATGGAAGGTGGTGGTGACCTCCACCTAGACTCTGGGATATTCTCCACACCTCCTCTTCCTTCCTCTTCGGGTGTGGTTCGCTCTGCTTCAATTTTTTTTCCTTGGTTCCAGCTCCAAAGTACAGTCTCTGAGGATTTCGATGTCGGGTCAGGGTTTAGTTTGGGGTGTAGCTTGGCCTTCTCTGAGGGTGGTCCCTTTCATGTCAACAGCAGAGGTATTTGAGCCTTCTAGTCCCACCTGTCAATTACCTATAGATGATTCCAGAGACTTGTGGCCTGGTCTCTGACCGAGACCCCTGGTTGGTGATCTGGTCAACCAAACTGTTTGATGCAGCTGCTCACAGCCTGGTATATTTTTTATTTTTTTTTTTTTTTGAGATATATACAAGAGTTGTTACATTCTTGTACAGCCACTAGTACGTGTAGCGTTTCGGGCAAGTCCTTAATCCTATGGTCCCTGGAATACGATCCCCTGCCGCGAAGAATCGTTTTTTCATCCACGTACACATTTTACTGTTGCGTTAAACAGAGGCTACAGTTAAGGAATTGCGCCCAGTATATCCTCCCCGGCCAGGATATGAACCCATGACATAGCGCTCGCGGAACGCCAGGCGAGTGTCTTACCACTACACCATGGAGACTGCCTATCAGGTATCCTATATCAGGTATCCTTTCAAGGTGTTTGTCAAGTTCTCTTTTGAATATTGCAAGAGGTCTGTCAGTTATGGGGGCATAACTGACCGACCACTTACAATAGTGTGTTGAAAAGTGTTGGGCCTTTGAAGTTGAATGAGTTCTCTCTCGGCATCCCTATTGCACCTCTGTTTTCCAATAGGGCTATTTTGCACATCCTGCCATGTGTTCTGGTCTCAGATTTTGGTCTCGTGTGGTGTTATTTCTGTGTACAGATTTTATTTCTGTGTACAGAGCTAACAGCAATGCTGTTAGCTCATGCTATGTGCACCAGCCTTGGTTGCTCACTCAGTACTGAGGCTCTCACACCCGGGAATGTTGCCCACGATTTAATGTTGCCCACGATTTAAAAAAAAAAATGGAGTCTGTTTCGGAGAGTCCTGAGGAAGCTGATGTGAACCCCCATGTAGCCGCGGGAGTTTTGAATGATATATGCTAAACCTATAAGAGCCCTGAAGCATGTTGCGCACCACCCATCGAGAGCCTCAAGGCACGTTGCGCAGTGCAGTGGTTAAGAAGCACATCAACAAACTGAAAAAGGTGCAAAGACATGCTACTAAATGGCTCCCAGAACTGAAGTTCAAGAGCTATGAGGATAGGTTAGAGGTATTAAATATGCAAAACTAGATGATAGAAGAAAAAGAGGCGATGTGATCACTACATACAAAATAGTAACGTAATCGATAAAATTGATAGGGAAGATTTCCTGAGACCTAAAACTTCAAGAACAAGAGGTCATAGATTTAAACTAACTAAACAAAGCTGCCAAAGAAATAAGAAAATTCCCTTTCACAAACAAAGTGGTAGATGGTTGGAATGAGTTAGTTGAGAAGGTGTTGGAGACCAAAACCGTCAGTAAGTTCAAAGCGTTATATTACAAAGAGTGCTGGAAAAACGGGACACCACGACTGTAGCTCTCATCCTGTAACTTCGCTTAGGTAATTACTTAGAACCGAAGGGTGGCACGTGGTACTAGTTACTTAACTTTGTTATAGTAAAGAAGTAAAGGAGATAAAAAGGAAGACCACACAAACCAACCAGCTGAGAAGATGCCAAGCGACCCACGCCTCACTGTTGTCCTGGGTCCTCTCAAGGTCAACTGATCATACAGTAACTTGAATCTCTAATACCTTTTAAATTGCCACCATGCAATTCTAAGTATAAATATAACATCCTAGCTTTACAATATATTAACAAATTACAGGATTTTCACAGGCTAACTACAAAGCTAGGGGCATCAAAATGTGCTTATATCTGGCAATGATGCAATTGCCCGCCATTTGCAAATTTGAGGAGACAATACTTTGTATTATCTACCATATAATAACACTCCTTCTACCAAACCTAACTGACTAGCCCTATCATATAATAATATATTTATTAAAACATTTTCACCACATAATCTCCCCACATTCAGGGCCTATCACACTAAAATACCTACATGAGTGAAGGCTCCTTATTTCATATGTAAACAATTTCTATATGCTCCTGGACCAAATTGCACAGTGCCATACTGGCCCAATGGTTGTAACAAGTGTCAGCTCGGGGGCTGTTTCCTATACCAGGTCCATTGTTGGGTTAGCAGTAGTTGTAGGAGTGGGTGTTACAGCAGCAAACAGTAGATCTGTCCACAGAATTCACAGTAATGTCAGGGGTCAGGGGCTAGATTAGAACTCATAACTGGAGCAGTGGTGGTGAAGACTTCCGCTGGGATGGTGAAGGTCGGGAGGCTGTTTGCAGCATAGAGGATGTTAACACTTTCGCGCAATTGCGACCAATCATGTGTCCGTAATTTTTGTCATGGAAGTTCACTTGAGACGCATGTCGCATCCGAAATTAAAATATTAGTTCAAATTCTAATTTTTATGAAGGCACAGTGTTATGGCATGGCTGACTATCTTTCAAGGTTTAAAATCCAAATACTGTACAGTA